ATATAACGTAGCAACCTTATTTCCAGCAAAATATACTTGATATAGCCTATATATTGCTACTGTAGTAAATAAAAATCTAATATAAAATTTGGTCATATCATCCATGCTAATTGCATTAAATAATCATGATTACAATATCAACTAAAATAATTGCCTATATGATTTTGGCCATAATTGAGTAGCCCTAATAGCTAAAAAATAAAAAATAAATCCACAATATTCAATATACATTAATATTTTTGCATTTGCTCTTGAAAAATTTTAAAGGGTTATTTTATTATAATTTTTTTTAACATAGTGATCATACTGCTTTTTACTAAATACAGAATAATGGCTATATAAATTTGCTCTTGAAAAATTTTAAAGGGTTATTTTATTATAATTTTTTTAACATAGTGATCATACTGCTTTTTACTAAATACAGAATAATGGCTATATACATTTTTTTTTTTAAAGTAACAAAAAATAAAGGAACATTTAAAATAATTTCTATTTAAAGGTAACAATATAAAAACATGAAAATGAAACAAAAAGTGCAATCTTCCCACAAAAAGCTGTGATTGTTGCAACAACAACAGCAAGTTCTTTGAAGAACAAAAAACCCGTTACACAGAACAAGTGTCAGGTCATCGTTTTCAATGCACAGATTGTGACATCAGTGTCAGACAGTGATGTCATAAAGGTGAGCCAATCATATCTGAGATTCACTGGAGGGGCGGAGCCTGTCAAACAGAGGTTCAAGCTCAAACCGGTGCGTAGGGCTGGACGATATGGCAAAAATGTATATCGTGATATATTTCTTAATTTCCGATATCGATATGAACACTATTAAAAAAAGCCTTGTAAAAACTGCCAAGAACGCCACAACAGATGTCTGTGCATACAAACTTATGAAAAATGAATTTGACAAGTCTCTGACACCTCATATAAAACCATTTAATATTTTAGAAAAAAAACCCAGCACAAATAAATTAATGTTCACCTTTTATTTGTATTTAGCCTTCATTCAAACAAGAAATGTGAAATTCTTTCAATCCTGCTTTTTTTTTATCCAAAATACAGCAAAAACAGTAACATTGTGAAATATATTTGCTATTTAAAATAATTGTTTTCTATTTGAAAATATTTTAAAATGCAATTTATTCTTGTGATTTCAAAGCTATATTTTTAGCATCATTACTCCAGTCACATGATCCTTCAGAAATCAGTATAATATTCTGATTTGCTGCTCAGAAATCATTTATTATGATGTTGAAAAAAAAAACAAAAAACATTAAAAATCTTACCGTTCAAAAACGTTTGACTGGTATTGTAGGCTGACAGCCAGTATAAAGAGTATGAAAAGTGCAAACTGCTTGTCTGCCAGCAGGAGGCGCTGTGAGAACAGCAGAACTAGCGGTTTCTCCAGTAACGGCTGTAAACACAGCAGCTCCGCTCATAAACGCTTCTTTATCAGATCAAATAAAAATCCCATCGAAACTTTTCTAAAGACAGTCGGTTCCCTTCAGAGATACATTCATATAAAACACCCGCGCAGTGTGAAACGTGCAGCGCTCATGTTTATTCAACGAAGTCAAACGCCACAAATACATCAATGTACGGGAAACACTGGTAATGTATATCGAAATATCGGAAATGTGTTTAAAAATCATATCACCGTTATTGAAAAACTATATATTGCGATACATATTGATATTGAATTATTGTCCAGCCCTACCGGTGCGCAACATTTAGCTACGGTTTCCGGTTTGAACGACATGTTTCCTGGAAACGGTGTGTAACGGGGTTAGAGATGCGTTTTCTCTTGTTTGGTGGGTGTGTCAAACATGTCAGCCCAATCAGCAGCAACATGTACTGTATGTAAACCACGCGGTATTAAAGAGACAGCTGCACAATGTAATTAACATCCAAATA